GATTTCTAGTGCTTTGGAAAATATCCGCTAGTCATGCTTAATAATCACATTACTTTATTAGTTTATTTTGCGTAACCTTTTTCGTTTTAATGTTTTATTTGTATAGGACTTTACCAATGGAACTTGCAACCGAGGATCAAACTGTAAATATCGACATGTCACTACATCTCAGGAAACATTAAATCCTGGTTTCTTTAGTCAACCCAACTTACAAGAAAATGGTTTTATCAATACAAATGTATCCACTAAACATTTCGATCCTTCTTTGATAAATATTTCAAATCCAACTAATAATATATCTCCATTTGGTCAGTCATCTATTATTAATAGGGCTGTAATTGTATCACCAAACGATCCGATTCTAAATCCCGTGAGCAATGCTTATATTCCTGTGGCATCTTCTCATTCAATTGTTGGTCTTATTGGTAATACATCTACAGGACAGCCTACATTGTATACTCATTCTTCGCTTGTTTCAATAACAAGTGCACCTCATATTACTCCTTGTTCTTCCGTTATCACAGTTAGTCCTGATCCTAATCAACATCCGAATATGCTACATCCTCAAACTGCTTTGTCAGCACCTCATGCAACTTATCATATTGTTCCACATGATGCTTCGCAACATCACCATCATCATCTACTTGCTACCAGTTCAAGTCATTCACATGCTCCTACTCTATTAACCATTCCTTTGTCTCAATTCGCTTGTAATGTCAGTAATAATAGCTTGATTCAATCTCAAGCCGCTATTGCTTGTTCTACACAACATCGTGCTGTTGTAACTGGTGTTTTACCAGCTAATTCAACAATATCAACTGCACCTGCAACCTATTTTCCGTCATATGGCGTGCTTCACATCAATCAACCATCCATAGAAACACATGATCAGCAACAGCATCAACAAATTACAACAGAAATGCACAAAGAAGCTTGTAAAACCAAAATATCCACTACAACAACTACACCAGTTACTGCCATTACAACAGCCACGACTTCTGTTGCCTCTTCTACAACAGCTGTATTAGCTGCAGCAGCTGCGGCTGGCTACATTGCACAACACCTACCAGTTATTGGTTCCACTAATATATCTGAAAGTGGTACAATTCCTCAAGATATCAATAACAATCTTCTATTGAATCAATCAAAAGGCGTTAGTGTTCATGAGTCAGCACTGGCAGCAGCAGCAAGCTTACCAACAGTATCAGCGGCTGCAGCTGCTGCAGTAGCTGCCGCCGCCGCATTCGCACGTTCAACTTCCATTACTCAAAATTCTAAGGTAAAGTTTTGGAAATATATATTGGTCAATATTTATTACTCAGTATATACTAACTACTCAGACTAACTATAGTACTCTTTTCGTTATAGCTTTTTGGTTGTTCACTCACACTTTGAAATTTTTAAAAATAATATTTTGTTTAGTGACACTTTTGTGGCTGACTAAAAGTTAGGTTTAAAATATAATCTTAAATAAACATGGGCACTGTCCTTTTCCATCCGTTCGTTCAAAGTTAAATACCTACCATGTGATCTCTGATTCTTATCTTCGGTTACTATAAAATTTAGTATTATGAATGATGTTAGTAATTATTTAAAATCTTATTTTTTTATCCCTTCAAATTCCACTTTCTACGCTAACTAACCTAGAAGTATGGTTTGGATAATACTATAGGTAACCGAAATAACACATGACATAAATCTGTAAGAATATTGACTGTTAGATTCAGTCATGCTGAGAGATGTAGAATACTTTCTGGCCTGATAATCGTTACTGACGTCCGGCACCTTAACCAGAATGGTAGATAAGGAGAATTCATCTACAGCAGTTGGAAAACCCTTATTCCAAACCAATGGTGTACATAGACTGCAGGATCATGACAGAAAAAAATGTTTATGAACCTATTGTTTTTATTTCGGCTACTATGGGATTACATCTGTTGATGCTGCGCCATTGTCCTGTATATGGGTTTGGATAAAAAGTCTGGGAATGGTTCCCGAAGAAAACCATCTATCCTACTTTGAGCTTCTAGTCAGTATCTCACCCCTGTCACAAATTCAGTAATTTGTTTGACGCATAAAAATTTTGGTGCTCAATGTGTACCACTGTTTATGTGTTTAAATGAAAAAACTGATCTTGCACGGTTAGCAAAGTAACTGAAGATGATGTTTCGGTGCAGTTTTAATATTTTTAATTTTTATCTACAGTGGAACATTGATTTTCCTTTACTTAACCATGTTTAATGATGTTCAAATAGTATAATTGACTTGTTTACGTGTACATCAAAAGGTTACTGATTTCATTGGAACACTTAAACTGATATATATTCACATACATACATGAGACAAATTAAGTATGTCTATACTTTCAGTTCACATAATAAGATTATTGTAGAATAATAGTGTTCCATGTAATCGTAGGTAATGTTCCTAACCAAGCTTCTAGTGACTTTACAATTATTACATAAAAGTATTTATTACTATTCTCATATTTTATTTGTTCGATCCCTTTTTTTCCCCTCTTTTTCAAGTGTTGCCCTGTGATTCTTCCCAATGTTCAAATGAAATCTAATGAATTGGATACCGAATCTAATTGCTTTAATCCCAGTAATAGTAATAATAATAATACTATTAATAATGTAACTTTAAATAATAATGAATCATGTTCTTGTCAAGATTCTTCATCTTATTTATCAAATATGAAATATGTTAATCATACTAATGCTACAACATCGAGTATAAATACTGTTACGACTACGTGTACTCAAAGTAGTTATTCAATTAGAGAATCTTCGCATACATCAGATAATCACAATAATAATAATTATAATAATATTAATAGCAATAGTAACAATAATTCAATAAAGCCTATATCGTCATCGGATTCATCATCTATGCCTTATTCAAGTCAATCATCGGATTATTTGAATCCAACTGATGAAGAACAGGCTAAAACAGCAGCTGCTGTTGCGGCGGCTGCTTGTATAGGTAAATTAATAATTCAGTATAATAAAAATATATTTCGCCACTTCGTTATTATTATTATTATTATTATTATTATTGTTTTACTGACAGTGATTTACTCGATTTTCTCCCAACTCGGAATAAAGATTGAAATCGAATATGTATACCTGGTTGTGGCCCGCAAGATGTGATAGTACTCGATGATTGGAGACCTTGATTGACATGGCTCAAAATAGTTTGCAATGGTGCAGGTGCATTCATTCTTTGTGTTCTCTCAAATCCTGAACTTCTTAATTCCTCATCACCTACTTTTCAAATTTATTTCACTAGATTCTACTCCTTGAATAATATCCTCAAACCCTAAACTCTTCGATTACTGTTAATACTTCTACTATATCTACTATGCGGTTTGAAGTTTGTTTCTGTGCTAATATGGTATGGCAACTTGAACTGATGTATTTACTTACGAAGTTCTACGTTGTTGACTGACTGACTGATATTCTAATGACCGAAAATCAAAGATATAATGGTTAAAATGTTAGATTTTTTTCAACACAATGTTTCATCCGAATCTTTTTTGTATGGTTTCATTTTCGTCCACTATTACTGATTGGTTAATATCACGATCCGATTTGATCACATAACTAAAAGGATACAATAGTCATAGTTCTATCTTTCTTAACAATCATCCTCTTTGTTTACGAATTCTAATCTGTTTGCTGCCATATTTCATCAGTTTAATTGTCTTTTCTTATTGTATGCACAAGAATGGCTCATGTTTACCTGTGCATTGCACTTTTTACACAAATTTAGACATTATATTGCTGCATCTAGCAGCAGTGTTAGGCACAATGTATAGATCAATTACTCTTTGTGTTTTGATTGAAATTCTTGTGCGATATGATAGAATAATTAGTCTTGTATTATCATTACATTGCGGGGTTGTTGTGAAGATTGTTAAGTTTTATATGTAACCATGAATCGATCAATACCGAAGGTCCTGGGTTCGAATCCTGCGGGGTGCAGGAGTCGTGGATGCGCACTGCTGATGAGTCTTGTATTATCATTAGCTTAATTAATTCAGTCCAAACATCAGTTTTGCAATGATGATGTGCAAAAGCCGATCAGGAACGACTAAATGATTTCATGATCATGTTGCATCTATTAAAAAAGGTTGTTGACCATCCAATTGGATTCATCATCATCAACAACAGCAACGTAGAACTTCGTACGTACATAGGTACATCAGTTCAAGTTGCCATACCACATTAGCACAGGGATGTAATTGTCAATTCAAATCCCATAGTAGTAGAGGTAGTAGAAGTATTAGCAGTAATCGGAGAGATTAGGGTTCGACGATATTATTCAAGAAGTAGAATCTACTGAAATAAACTTAAAAAATAGAAGATAAAGGTGATGAGGAAGTCCGAAGTTCAGCATTTGAGAGATCTCAAAGAGTGGATACACCTGCGCCATTGCAAACGATTTTGAGCCTTGTCATTAAGGGTCTCTAACCATCAGGTAGTATCTTCTCGCGGACTCCAACTACCGACATGACTCAGTCCACTTGTCAGTGATTTCATGGATTTGCGCGATGTTTTGGTCTGGCCACCCCTAGCTTTCATCCAACCTATTCCTACACCACAATGCAATTGATTGTAATGAGAAAGAACAAATAACCACTTTGTAAGACGTTAAAAACATTTCTTTGTAATCGATTCCAAAATGTTTGTTTACCAGTTAGTTCAATGGAATATATTAAATGAAGTGATTATTTCACTCTGTTGTTTTGTTTGTTACGATTAAAAATTGTTCAGTGTGAACAGTGTTAAATTGTAGAAAAACAAACCTAAAGCTTAATTTAGGGATCTCACTATATATAAAGACTGAAATCAATTTATTAGTGTTTGTAAACTTGTTTTACGTTATAAATCATTTACTGAGACTTACTGTTTCTTGATTATGTGAATTTAGTTGGAGATTTGCTTAGATCACTTTAAGTGTCACTTTAGTTTCTAATGTATTGTCACATGTGATTACATTTTGCGTTTAAAATATGTAGAATACTTTCATATTTCATAATGTTGGTTGATTGTTACATCGATGTTACTTCAAGGTTAATAATTGTCATGTCTATCTGCATTTGTGTATAACAGTAGTATCAGTACTAGTGTTACTACTCGACTATTGAGACTAAACCATGGAGAAGAACTTTATCTTGAAGCAATAATTAAAGAAAAAATATACTGTGAAACTAAAATCTTCATTTTATTGTGTTATGTATTTCACTCATAAATGATTCAGTTGAAATGGAAATCAACGACAGCTGATACGTATACTATCAAGCCACTAAATATCTATTTATCACAATGCTCGTTTGCATGCTGACAGATTCGTTTGAGGTGAGGACCGGTGTCAGGCAAGGTTGCTTACTACCACCCATTCTCTTTCTCCTGATGATCGGCTGGATTATGAAGACGTCGACATCTGGAGAGAAGTACAGGATACAGTGGACAACCAGGATGCGGACGGACGATCTGGACTTCGCAGATGATACGGCTCTTCTATCGCACACGCAATAACAAATGCAACAGAAGACGATCAGTGTAGCAGCAACCTCAGCAGCAGCAGGTCTCAACATACATAAAGAGAAAAGCAAGCTTCTCCTATACAACACTACATTCGCCAACCAAATCACTCTTGATGGAGATGCCTTGAAGGACGTTAAAACCTTCACATATCTGAGCAGCATCTTCGACAATCAAGGTGGGACCGATGCAAATGTAAAGGCACGGGTCCGAAAGGTAGGTGTTACATTTATACAATTGAAGAACATCTGGAACTCAAAACAACTGTCAACAAACACTAAAATCAAAGTTTTCGATACAATTTTCAAGACAGTTCTACTATATGGAGCTCAAAATACTTCGGATTCGTTAGCCAGACACAGCAACAATCTACTGTGGGAAAGAACAAACCAGATTCCAGCGGAAACGGAATGGTGGAAGTGGATAGGACACACTGTGAAAAACACGCAACTGCGTCACATGACAAGCCCTCACTTGGGACCGTCTAGGTCAGAGGGAAAGAGGAAGGCCAAGAAAGAAATAAAGCGGAGAAATAGAGAAAAATATGAGAAGAATCAAAGAAAATTGGACAGAACTGAAAGGGAAGCCCAGGAAAGAGTTGGTTGGAAAACACTGGTCGGCGGCCTATACTCCATTGGCGGTAACAGGCTTAAGTAAGTAAGTAAGCTGTTTGCCTGCTCGCTTAATTAAATCTTACTTCCTGTTACAGTATCAAGAAATCGATATTAGTTGTTTCAAATAATAATTCTACTATATTCAACAACTAACTTCTTAAATAGCTTATTATAGGCAAACTTTAAAATCATCTTGATTTGTGTACACATTGATTGTTATTTTGATTGGTTGTTTTTTTTTTCGTGAATATTTAGGTGCTATTTTCTCTCAACCAATGGCAGCAGCTGCTGCTGCAGCTGGCGGTGGTGGTGGTTGTGGTGTTGGTGGTGGTAACTCCGCCTCATCTTCAATGGCTGCCATGTTAGGCAATTTAATGAGTCGTAATCCACAAGATATCATTCAAGCAGTTCAGTCCTCTTCATCTTCTTCACTATCATCATCATCATCATCAGCTTGTGGTTCGTCACTCCAATCCAATTCATCAAGACATATTTGCTCTGTGAACAGTAAATATACTTCAGCGTGTGATGTAGACAATTCTGTAAGTCGTTCATCACAACAACAACAACAACAACACCAACAGCAGCAATATGTTTCAATTGATGAAAGAAATATAAATGACGGTCAAAATGATCAAGGCAATTGTGTAAATAATGTAAATAATAATTCAACTGATCAATATAATATTCAATTGAATTCTGTGAATAATTCTTCATTTATTTCTACATTGGATCGTTGCAAATGTACCAATTCTTCATTAGATAGTTCATATTCTTTTCAAGATGTAATTACTTCAGATGCAAATAGTTGGTCAAGGTAAATATTATTCATTATTCAATGTATTTGTGAAATTTCAATTTAATTAAGCGTAGACTGTAAATTCTATATATGAAGTAGTAGAATTAGTAACAGTACCAATGATGGTAAGATAGATTATGTAACCTAATCTACAGAACCATGGAGCATCATCAAGAGATGCGATCCCATGGTAGCCGATGACTGGCAGTAGGTTCATACACCATTATTTTCTGTCAGGATCCTGGAACCCATATGCGCAATCGGTTTAGAACCAGGGTTTTCCAGCTACTCTAAATGAATCGTTCTCACCCATTAACCTGTCATGAAAAGGTATGGAGCAGGACTTTCATGGTAGTGGCTTTCTACACGTGGTCATATGAGAGCATTTTGAGAGAGAAAGAGAGGGCGGACTCTTCCTAATTTCTGTTGTGCCAAGAAAAGTGAATCGAGCACTCGGGTTATATATATAATGTTATATAAGGTAATCGCAACAACAAACGCAAGAGAAGACGACCAGTGTAGCAGCAGTCTCTGCAGCAGTAGGTCTCAACATACATAAAGGAAAAAGCGAAATTCTCCGATGCAACACAACATGCACCAACCAAATCACTCTTGATGGAGATGCCTTGGAGGACGTTAACACCTTTACATATCTGGGCAGCATCATCGACGAAAAAGGTGGATCCGATGTAGATGTGAGGGCGCGGATTGGCAAAGCAAGGACTGCATTTCTACAGTTGAAAAATATCTGGAACTCCAAACAACTTTCAACCAAAACCAAAATCAGGATTTTCAATACAAATGTCAAGACAGTTCTACTGTATGGAGCGGAAACTTGGAGAACTACGAAAGCCATCATCCAGAAGACACAAGTGTTTATTAACAATTGTCTACGCAAAATACTTCGTATTCGTTGGCCAGATTCCACCAGCAACCACGTACTGTGGGAGAGAACAAACCAGATTCGATTGGAAGAGTTAATCAGGAAGAAGCGGTGGAAGTGGATAGGACACACACTACGAAAAGCACCTAACTGCGTCATGAGACAAGCCCTCACATGGAACCCTCAAGGCAAAAGGAAAAGAGGAATGCCAAAGAGCACATTACACCGAGAAATAGAGAAAGATATGAGAGGACTGAACAAACATTGGACAGAACTGGAGAGGGAAGCCCAGGACAAAGTAGGTTGGAGAATACTGGTCGACAGCCTATGCTCCATTGGGGGTAACAGGCGTAAGTAAGTAAGTAAGTAAAATGAGGTAATGAATAGTAAATTGAACGCCGATGATTGTCGGAGGAACTGACACAAACCAATATATTATTTGCAGTGTAGTTGATTATGTTATAAATCTGACTGCATTATCACATCATTGTAACGTATATTATCACCGGTTTTCGTTCAACATTCGCAGCGCCCTTTACCTCCGCAAAGTTAATTGCATGAATTTATAAGACAGTCATGTTCTCATAATATATTTCTAATCTTTTATGATTACTGCTTAATACACAATTCTTCTTTATTTTGGCAAACTTAAATCACACACTCTGTGAAACCTAACTGATATATTTTATTGCTGTTTATTTATTCTGGAAAAATTCATACTTTTTACTTCGATCTAACTAACTTACTAATATTCCCGACAACGATTCTGTTTTTCATTGTAAACGAAATGACTAGTTGTTGGTCGATGTTGAATAGAACTGTTTGCAATCGATTGTCACTTAGTTTATGAATAATAATTTTTTTCCTACCTTAATAAAGAGAAATGCAGAGAATAAAAACTGCAGAATCTTAGATAATAGAGTAAGTATATCAATTTATGTTAACATCGTGATTAGTGTAAATGCATTAGTGAAGAAACGCCATTCAAAACTAACTAAAGTGTTTTGAGGAATTGGTTGGACCGTTTTTTTTTGCTGACTGATAAATTGAATGGATGATATGCTAATTGAGCTATATAATGTATGATGATAACACAATCTGAAGGGAGATGATAAGTGATCAAGTAACCAAAACGTGACTTCTTTCAACAGAATCGGTTTTTCCTAGTAAAAATAATCATACCTAGATAAAATGTTAGATACAAATGTGAACGTGATTAGATATTATTTTCTAAATGAGCGACTACAATATGAGTTTTTATTTTTGGGTTACTCATTCTCTATTTCGTATACTGATGATATAATTGTTATGCCTAATTGTTGGTCTTCATACTGCCTTTCCTACGAAATACTAATATAAGATCTGACTGTAGCATATTCAATAAAACTATATCCTTCTCTTCAAATACATCTTAGTTTTCTAGTTATTGTGTTTCTATTTTGTCTGGAGATTTCCTTTTGGATTGCTACTACAATTTATAGCATCCTTCTTTCGTTGCCTAAGCAGTCAGTCAGTCAGTTGCAACGTAGAACTTCGTACGTATGTACATAAGTTCATGTTGCCATACCACATTAACACAGAGACGCAAATGTCAAATCAAATCCCATAGTGATAAAGATAGTAGAGGTATTAATGATAATGAAGAAGACTAGGGTTTGAAGATATTATTCAAGAAGTATAATTCAGTGAGATAAGGTTAGAAAGACAAAGGTAGAGGTGCTGACGATTCCAGAAGATTAGGATTTGAGAGAGCACAACGAATGGATGCACTTGCACCATTGCAAACGATTTTGAGCCATGTCGTTCAAGGTCTCTAACCATTGGTGACTTTCGTCTCGCGGACCCCAACCAGGTAGTCTACATCTACCAACATGACTCAGTCCACTTGTTGCTTAAGCTGAGCCAATAGTTTTGCTTATGTTTTTATCAACTCTTTTATCGTTAAATAATAACCTTGAGATAATTATGGCTTAGAATTTATTGTTCATAGTTGCTCCCACATTAGCGAAAACTTTTTTTACGCCGCCTCTCTTCACACTCCCGAAACCTGCCGCCTAATAGTAGTAATGATAATAACTTTCAGAATTACTATAATCCGTTATTATTGTTTCAAGAGAGACATTAAAACTAATCATCATGTTATCAGTAGATCCGATTAAAATCTTACCTGGTTGCAACCACAGATAATCTATGTCCCAGTTTGTTACATTTTTATATATTCGCGTCAAAAAATCTTCTTCTCCATATATGTAGCACATAATGCGAAAACATGTAAAGCAGTAGACTACCTACCTGGTTGAGGTCTGCGAGACGAAAGTAACCGATGGTTAGAGACCATGAATGACATGGCTCAAAATCGTTTGCAATGGTGCAGGTGCATCCACTCTTCGTGTTCTCTGAGATTCTAATCTTCTGAATTCCGCATCGCGTCTGTCTTTCACTTTCTAAAGTTATCTCATTGAATTATACTTCCCGAATCATATCTTCGTACCCTAATCTTCTCTATTACTGCTTATACTTGTATTATCTCTACTACTATGAGATTTGAACTGACAGTTGCGTCGCTGTGGTAATGCGATATGTCAACCTCAACTGATGTACGAAGTTCTCTACGTTGTGACTGACTAACGTAAAGCAGTTACTTTTTTAACATTTATGATCATACCTTCAAAATTTACAATTAGAATTAAGAATCAAAACCATATTCATTTTTAATGTCAACCAGTATTGTTTAACTTGCTTATAATCTCTGATGATAGATGATAGATGATAGTGTAGAACTGTTCCATTGTTTAATTAATTTATTTAGTGTAACAACAACAATGGCGTCAGCTGCTAAAGCTGCTGCAGCAGCTGCTGTCGCCGCTACAGCTGCCGTAACTGGTTCGGCCAATTTCTTTCGATTGGCACAATTTAAGAATAAAGTTGATCCACAATTGTATGATGTGCGTATGGAAAAAGTGACATCATCATCCATGTCATTGTCAAATGAATCATCATCATCTAGTATTTACAGTCCTTTACGTTGTATTGATCAGTCTAGAAGTTTACGATTGACTTCTGACCATATGTCTTCATCTGGTGTAGTGAAAAAAGATACGGAACTTAGCGGTTTATCAACTAAGGAGGCTGTAACAATGACTAGCGCAGCAGCTGCCGCAGCAATGGTTGCAGCTGCGGCTACAGTAGCTGCTGAACAACGTCAACTAATTGGAAATAATTTCTTGTCTGAAGTAAGTTGTTTTCTTTTTTTATATTTGTTTCCTATCTATCGTTTATCCTTATTTGTTTTTTTATCCCCAAGTTTTCTGCTGATTGTACCAATATCATTACCGTGTGAGCAGTTAAGAACGTTGCAAATATGCGATTTTTAAAGTTGTCGTTAATGAGCCATTTGTACATAGGACTTCTCTGATTGATTTAGTCATAATGTGTCATCCCTAAGCATTGTTTCCACTTACTGGATTTTCTCTGTCTGCCTTTCTTGATTTAGTATTTCACAAAGTGCTTAAGGTACCGATTTTAGTTATAGAGAATTCTTCGAACAAGTTTGAAATTTGTAGAATGAATGAATCGAACGCCAATCATTAGATAACAACTGACAAGACGATGTAGCCGAGTGATCTCTACTCACGAGACCGGATTTTCGACAATAGTGCCTGAATAATCCGAGACTGAAAACGAAACCACCAACCAGCAGAATTAAAATTTTGTGATAAAATAACTTTGTTATTTACGTAAAATATTAAAACAAGAAGATGCAGACCCTTATGTTAGGATATTCATCCAATATCTTAAGAGAATTAATTATTGGTCAGTTCCTACTGGTCAATTTTATGGTTGTCCTAGATATCAATGTCACGTGCTCCATTGTTGTTCCCTATTGGTTGTCCTGACTATCTATGTCACTTCAAATGTTGCTTCCTATTGGTCGTCTTAACTGTCGATGTCACAGACTTCGATGCTGTTTCCTATTCGACCAAAATGTATAAATACGCATTATCTGTAACGTTTTATGACCAGGACCAGGACCCGGTTCCGGATACCTAGTTCGGGATCCTGATTCTCTTCTGGAATCGGACCTCGTACTTTCTGGATGCTTGTAGAATACAGGTTCTACTTCACATTCAAGTCTTCTTGTTTTCACTCAATATGGGGGTTGGGATAATCGGATTAGAGTAGCATGTCGTGTCGCTGGATCCCCGATCCTCGTTCTCGTTTTCCGACTAGGTAAACTCGTAATAGTTCAAGCATATCAAGTTGACCTGTTTACATTCAGGCGTAACACTTTATTAACCGGTAACCAAAATAAATTAATATACCGTTTATCCCTCAGAAGGCTGGAACCTACCTAAACTTTTGGTCTAATACCGTAATTTTTCGACTTTCCTGGTATCTAGTACTCCGGTCCAAGTACTCAACGTTTGTTTGTCATCATCCCACCGGGATAAAACACCATTCCTCAGCGAATTTATTGAATAAAACTTGTCTGACAGATACAGTGGATACACTGTCTAACGATTACATTCCAAGAAGAAAACTGATTCTCCGCATTCTTGGACATATCGGAGATTTTACGGCTATTCAAAATAATCGATTTCTTTATCTGATACAGTAACTTAATTCAATACAATATAAAAAATACAGAAATAAACATAATTTGATGTCATAAACATGTAGAGGAAATCCGTTTTTTTTTTTAGGTTACACTCACTCAATATCCATTATAATCAAGATTGTACTGTTAGTCTTTATCATTTCTTGTTGTATCAATTCTAAAATTATATTTTTCCAACTGATCTTAACTGTCAGATGTATTCACAACGTTGCCAAATAATTTTGAAAATATTTTTCTGTTTATATAATCGTTTTGTGGAGTTTGTTGAGCATTAATTATTCAAATCACGAACCGACTTAATATAGAAAATTATTAAAAACCAAGAAGTACTAGAGAATTGTTTCGTCTTCCTATCAGTGTGTATTCACCTTAGTACTATCAGGTCTTGTGCCGAGCGCTTAATGTTTAGATCAGTAAGGCAATCACTCACCGAAGATAATGGTATATAGTCGCTCAGCATTTTTAATTAGTTTAAGTCATTGGCTGATGGCCTCAGTGATTTAAATGTGTTAAGCGCTCGTTGTTGAAACCTGAATTTCTTCAGTTTTGTAAGTGATTTTCATATTGATTAATTAATTAATTAATTAATTGTTGTATTGTATTAAATTTTCTATTTTTATGTTTATTTTCTTACACTGTGATGAATTAATAATGAACAGGTTAATCATTCAAATAAATTAGAGAAACAAAATGCACATCGTACATTGACAGGAAATTCTTGTTTATCAAAAAATTCCGAATGTGATTATCATCGTACATGTTCATCTTTATCATCACATAATGATTTTGCTTCACCATCTTCTTCTTATGAAACTGATAGTCAAGTATATTCTTTATCTCATAATGCATCGAATCGATATCCAAAGAAACATCATAAAACTAAACGATTGACTACTGTTGATTGTCGTTATCCTAGTTATTCTAGTTTGCATCATCATCATACTACCGGTTTGTCAAGATCTGTTGATGATAATGAAGATGATGATCCTGATGTATACGAAGATGATGATATAGAGTCAACAGCTTTAATGTCACCATCTCCTGAAGTTACTCCTCCGTACAATCTACCAACTAAGTTAAGTAAACGAGAAGGTTTATTAGGTTTATCCTATTCACATCAAGTGGACGATAGTAGTCGACCGCCTTCTTGTGAGACTAGCCCAGATCCATGGAGATCAACAATTCGTAAAGTTGTATTATCTCGGACGACTGGAAAAACTGATTGTCTTGATGATCATTCATCTCAATCATTAAGTACTTTACAGTATTTGGATAATCAATCTTCTGAACATGGTATGGCATCTTGCTATTTAACTAACAACAATACACATTCTGAATCAATGAAGACTAATTCGACTGGTCCTTGTTTTTATCCAATTCGTCGATCAGTTTCAACTGGTGCTTTACCCTTTAAAACATCCTGCAAAACTGTTCTTAAAGTACGATCAAAATCATTTCCAGGTTTATGTTCTTCACATTCTTATTCAAAAGATGAACAACGAACTGTTTTCGCCTCATCTATTGTTAATCTCAGATATAATCCAGCTGAGAATTCTGTTTGCCCAACAATGAATGTGACATCAACTTCTTTGTGCTTTCCGAAGGGTGATAGTCGTATAAATAAATTCCATTCGTCCAGATACAGAAGTCGAGAATTTGTGAAAAGAAAATTTCGTCGAACTATCCATCGATATTCTACACAACATCCAAATAACCGTCGTTTCATATTGCGAAGCACTCGGCCACTACCAAATGTTTCCCCGACATCTGTTCTCAGCGAAGAATATGGCGGTCGTGATGAAGGTGATGATGCTGAGTACGTTGATCCAGACTATGATGATGAGGACTTATATGAATTATCCGTCCCGCGACCATCTATTAAACGTTCACCACATGGGATATCAAAATATTCGACGAAGAGAAAACGTTCTCTGTACTCTTCTTCCTCTAACTCTCTCCTTGCTCCACCGTCGATTAGACAACAATATGCACTTAAAGTTGAAAATGCCCGTTTACGTCGTAAATTACACGATTTAATGAGACAGCGTGGAGATTTAAGAGCAGCGAATGAAATGCTTTTAGAACAGAATGCACGACTACGTCAGTCCAGTAAACGTGTCTCTGCAGTTGCACGTATGGCAGAATCTGCTACAAAAATCATTGAAGCGCATAATAAGTCTCAACTTGCCCAGTCTAGTAGTTTTCCATCAAGTTCTGGTGCATGTCAGTCGACCGTGCCATTTTCTATTGCTCAAGCAGCAGCGGCAGTTGTTGCAGCTGCTGCCCAAAATCAAACAAATGCGCCTAATCTAAGTGGACTGTATGTATCTTCTCCAACAGCTTCTATTAATCAACAACATTCACCAACAATTAGTGTTCTAGGTAGTAGCTCCAATTTGCACTCTCTATTTCCACAGATCCCATCGGCCAACACTACTGGTATAGCTATCTCATCGAACCAAGCGTTGAATGCAGTTCAAATTCAAGCTCCATCTGGAGCATCAGCTACACCACCACAAGCAACTGGACTAATTCATCACCCACAGACTTTGGATCCTCAACAAACTCCGATATCCAATTACTATCAACACCAGGTATGTTAGCGCTATGCTTATTAATTATTTATACTGCTTGTTTTCATTGTGTTGTCATTTTTTAATGACGTGCATATCAAAATGAATTTTCATGATGTTTACCAAAGACTATTTGGCGTTCCCTTTCTTTAGGAATGAAATACACGGTGTACAACTTTCTATATTCGTTTCAGTTATTTTGCAGATTCAGTTTACTGTTTTCGATAGTGATTGGAGAAATTTTGTGTATTCTAGAAAAACGCGACATCGTATACGCTCTGTTTATAATGTTTAGTGAAGTCGATAAAATCACTGATTATCAACTAATTGTATAATTCATGGAAAGCTTAGTCGAATCTCGTAGATGTACCGTCAGAATAATATCTTGAATGAGTGATTTAGTGGTTTTCATACTTTATTTCCAAATCTCATAACTTCATACTGGCTACGTGCTTCATTTTAAATGCTAGTGTTTGTTTCCGTTGGTCGATAGGTTTTTGAGTTGTTTTTAGCTTTGTTAAAAGCGTCAACCAGGTTTAACTTTCGCCAAATGTTCATTCGTCTATAAATAACAAACTGTTCTGTGACATCACGGTGATGAGACATGTTTTTCGCTGCTCTCTCTGCACTAGACCATAGCTGCTACCTTATCATTATCGTCGGCCTTGTTAATCATAATGACTCAAACAAACTATGCTGAATGGAACTCACTCCTTTAGGTCTCACCATCCTAGGCAGGTTGGCTAGATAACAGTATGATTAAAAGTAGTAACTCAAGATCCGAAGAGCAAAGGCATACTTCTAATTGTACAGAGGCATGATCCCAGACAACTAGCATCTCAAATGATGCTTTCTTCTCACAACGAAAGGAAGGGATTTGAAAAAGTTGACTCTCAATTTGACACACATTACCTGGTCTTATTGCATGAATTTCCGTCTCTGGCGGAGTTAGCACGTCAAAAAATTCTCATGAAAGTGCCGTACTCTACCGACTTCAAGTAGTTCTCGATTGTGTTCTACATTCTCTAAGATCGCCACTCTAATAAGGTGTTTATGCAGTACACTATCTGAAAAGTGAAATGGCTGTAATCGAATGATTGTAATAATCATTAGGATTATATTAGTATTGTCTGTAGAAACATTTGACATTTAAGCAACATAACGATTATTCAAACTACATGAAAATGATATTAGTCGATTCATGTGCAAAGAGTTTGAAGTTAAAAAGGAAGTTACAATTTTCTAAGATGAATAAGCATTCATTTTCAATTGATGCATCTTATAATGTCATTGTTATTGAACGTTCTCTGAACCATAGACACGGGTTTCAAACTGTATGATAAAAGCTTATAAGACTGATAACATCTTATACCCCGATTTCAGAAAAAAATGTTTCTATAATTTTATTTATGTGGGAAAAAAAAATACATTTTCACATTGTACTTTTAAAGAAGCAATGTTGGTACATACTCAGATTTAAACTTTTGTTTAAGTTACACATCAGGAATGTTATGAAAGACTTTGTTATTACGTAATATGACTTAAGCTTTGTAAAAATATCCAAAGGTTATCTACGCATTGACTTTTAATTATTGGTAATGTAAATAATATCCAAGTGTCTTTTATGGCTCATTTCTTTCATAGAACAAGTTAAACGTTTATTACTTGTGAATATTTATATCTTTATGAAGTCACAAAAAGGTTCAATCCTTAAGTTCAAGTGCATATTCCACAATACCACGACTAAGTAATGTCTAGGTTGGCCTCATATACGTACCAGTATTTTACCACTCAAAATAGGAAATATGATGCTCATATAAAGTAATGAAGTAAATAACCGTAAATTCCTATTATAATGTCTTTTTTAAATACTCAGTTATCAGCTAGGTCTTAACTGGTTGTTTTTAGCTGTGATAAATTATAGCACGTAGTTGCTGTAATACTGAATCTTACTTCATAAAGAATAATGCGGATTAATCATTTATACTGACGAGAACAACCTCGCTAGTATACAGTAAATACATCTATGTCTGGATGTTGTCACATTAGTCTAGTTTTCTTCAAATAACAACGACTTCATTCCTCACATTGTTTTACTGCTTTGACTGTATATAATTTTCGCGAGCTCTGATTTATGCTTCGTTTTTTTATTTGATCTTTTCACTTGTAGACTTCTGATCTCCGTCCACAAGATCGTTTACTTGAGTTGCTTACCGAATACCTATCAACCACATAAACCTTTATCTAATCTTTGATTTGATAGTATTTTTTTTCTTTCGAAAAGACTATATAGTATGTTCGCCTTAACTTGATCGAATTTCTTTGTCACTTCAACCAGTTCAAAATCAATCATGAGAACTTGATGTTCCTAATGTACATTTGAATAAAGCTTTAAAGTACAGCATAATTAATTGTTCATCAGTTAGTTGTTGTCGATAGTTATGTCTATTGTGGTTCTTTACACTAAATTCTTGATTCGACTGAGCGCGAAATGTGATTAGGGTCCAGTGTTTTATCACTGAACATGCTGACAAGCTAACTTATGGATGTGAATTATCCCGGCGTTTGTTTCGTGGTAAACAACTCTAGTAGAAAATCGTCCAGTTATTTGCGCATTTATGCGTTTGTTTTCTTTAAATGATGATATTCACCCATATATATTAATCATTGTTTTAGATTTTCGGAATGCTGCTGTCTTGACTAATTGAATTGGGATATACTGTAGCCTTTCATCGGCTTCGTAGTTTTTTCTAACTCGTTTGCGACTAAACATCATTTAAGAATCACCATGACTCAGACGTCACAGTGCTTGCGACTGTAAGGGTTTGCACCACAACCACTATGGTAGATCATCGACTAGATGCGTAAATATGAGAGGTATGGAGAAAAATATGTCACGAAAAGATAGCTATTGTTACTGAAGCTAGGCCCTTCTTTCACTTGGGAATCATGACAGTTATCTCAAAGCAGTTGAAACCCTTCATTTCGTACACTATATCATCTCCGGACCTACATTGTAAGGGAAATTTTCAATGGATCTACGAATCTGTCGTCAATTTACTCGTTATTCGCAGTTTCAGTAACTCTGCTACTCGAACAGTTGTGGGGTTCCTCATCTGTTTTCATGACTAACAGATACTCGTTGTCGAGAACTTGATAACCCCACTCGTATGCATCTGTGAAGATATGGTACTTTTAGATCGGCTTCATGAGCAGCGGGTCATAGAATTGAGGAAACATGCAACTTGAAAATGAACAAGAAATCTTTTAGACTAAACAAACGATAATGATCCAGATCATCATGGGGGGAAGAAAACTATGCAGGGAAAATTTTCTAGCCACCTCTCGAAAGCCGGAGTCAAGTAGGACCTCCATTTGGTTTTCTCTTGTGCTCAAGCCCGTTAGACTGTGATGCTCATTCGAAGTTACAATTACTTACGAAACTCCCCATTGAAGATTAGATGCCGTAATACCAGATAATAGGTTACTAGTAAATATGAGTCACCTGTTCGGTCTACTTATTCCCGAGGTCGCAGATAAAGAAATCAGTCTTGTAATGTTGCGGAACTTCATAAAGTGTTAGAACAAAGATTTCGAAATAACAACGATCTGTGGGTTACCAGAACACAATGAGTATGCTTGAGTAATCGTCCACGTGTTAGCGCATTCGTTGTGATTAGGTCTGAATGACACAGAGAAAAGATAGTGTAATGTGTATTTGATTAAGCGTTTAGCGAAGGCTTATAGAAAATAATATCCTGTCCGCAGATGTTCCCACTACCAAGCATGTCGCGCAATCATGCAAGTTGGTAGGTGGAAACACTGAGGGAGAAATAGTTCCATGTGTCGGATGTCCCGAAAACACTTCTGCGACGATTTAGAGAAAAATTTTATGCATTTTCTGAGGTGGCCAAGAGATTATTTGTAATTTACTGTAATCTGACCTATGAAGACCCACTGATACAATGTCTGACAAGTTGGATTTAAGTCATCACCCCGTAATTATTTCAAGGAAATCAATAAAGATTAGAATTGCGTTTAATCGTACAGCTAAAAATAAGCGAATAAAGTCATAAGATTCACTATTAAGTGTGCCTCGCTACTGCTTATCTTGCTTTAATTTCTTCCGTCACTGATTGCCGTGACCACTGACTTTGAAGGTCACAGTACTGGAGGAAGATAATGGCCATATAAATGTGATGAAAAATGCTTCCGAGTAGAGTGTGATGGTTCACTCATTTGGTACAAGACTGTCACCACTTTGGGCCTATCTCGCTTTGCCTGCAGACATATTTGTTTTCAAGCCAAACGTGCTGGGGTCGGCAGATGTGGTGGACAAACAATTGTGTCAATGACAGTCTTGCGTCATTCGACAGCATCAATAAGGCACAACAGGTCTAAAACAACATTCAAGAATTGCTCTGGAAGAGAGGATCTAGGCTAACGAATTGATCCCTAATCACATTTATGCCGAAAATGCTTGACTTCTTTATGGAACCCTCACGCAGGAAGGTTAATTCGGACAGTGTTAGAATTAATAGATATAGTGGAATGAGGGCCTAACCCCAGTCATATGTCTACGGGACCATTACACCCAGCTGTCCTACCTGGTGCGCACCTGTTTCCGTCCAAAAGGATGTTTAGTCACAAAGGGACAAATATGGTTGGAAATCATCCAGAATTGAGAAGATATCTGAAGTAATTGGAAGCAAGAATTCACGAGCCTTTCGTTGAAACATAGAGTGGAGTATTACCCACCACATGTTAGTCACTGTAAAGGTCTTCGAGAACGAACACAAGAAAATTGTTAGGCCAGTACCAAATAAAAGAATTTATGGACAGAGTTTGGCAGAAGAAACGTTGAAAATACAATACGAGAAGCTAAGGTGATTCCGGATAACTCGCCATCACAAATAATAGAGATCCAAAAGTACTATCACCAAAGTAACTACTTTATTGATGAGGAATGACACATTTCATTCACTCAGCTCTCATCGCAACTATATGGTTAAAAGATGAATAGAGGTGCAACCTACGTCTGAAGTATTCTGAGGAATATGGCTTAATAGAATTTAGCTACTGTTCAAATACGTAACAAAACAATGAGACTTAGTACTGATTCTCGATAAGTGTTGGGGATGTTAGATCCCCAAAATTCGCTTGATAATGCCGTATTTTGGTTTTCACGTTTCGCCAGCATGGGCTGATCAGATGACCTTGAGATTTCAATTCCCACCAGGAAAATCCATGGCTGTGATTGGCTGCAGTGTATTTTAGTATGCTATTTTCTTAACTGTCTCAAGGACGTTCTTATGTTGTATAAATAAACGAGAGTTGTATGCTTGATTGTACTGTGATTGCTGGGTGTTTGTAGAATATACTTTCTACGCTTACAAAGCCTTTTCAATTCAGCCTCGGATTCAAGGTAGCCTCCCTGGAAGCTGGTAAAAGTCTCGTTCGCGTTTATCGACTAAGGTAAACTCGTAATAACCTCAAGCATACTAAGTGACGAACTTATCAGAGGCGACGGTGCTTTTGGAAATATGGATCCTGTCAAACTTGAATTACTACTTGAGCAGCAGCTGAAACTGATGCAGATGTTGACAGACATGAAGATTTCCCCTTCCACGCAGCCCAGCTCATCTAATGCAACCACAGCTCCATCGGTCGACGGCATCGCAAATAGCATATCTGAATTTCATTATGATCCTGATGCAAATGTCACTTTTGACATGTGGTTCCGGCGTTATGAGGATTTATTTAAGTTTGATTTCGCCAACCAAGATGATGCTTGGAAGGTTCGGCTGCTACTTCGAAAGTTGGGCGCAAGTGAGCTGGATAAGTACTGTAATTTGATCCTGCCTTTGAACCCACGAGATTATTCGTTTTCTGAGACTGTTCAGACTTTAAGTCAACACTTTGGAGACAACTCGTCACTATTTAATACTCGTTATCGATGTTTGAAGCTTATTATGAACGAAGATGATGATTTTCTTACGCACGTGGGCATCGTTAACCGTGAATGCGAACGCTTTCGGTTGAAGTCTTTGTCGGAAGACCAGTTCACAGCCCTTATACTCATCTGCAGCCTCCAGTCGAGTAAGTTCAGTGACATTAGAACAAGGCTACTGTGTCGTTTGGAGCAAGATCCAAAGCTTACGCTTAATGATATGGCTCATGAGTACCAACGTCTCACTAACCTACAACGAGACTCAACGATAGTGCAGAGTGGTAGTTCATGCCGATCTGAAATTCATTTGGTACAGCAGCCACCTTATCATAATAAGTCTGCCCATGCTACACCCAGTTCATCCCGCTCCAATTCTGCCCAAAAACCCAAAATGAATCCCCCTTCTGCTTGCTGGCGCTGCGGTTCATGGCACTATGTACGGAACTGCCCATTTAGGCAGCATAGATGCAGGAAGTGTAAAGTCATCGGTCATAAAGATGGCTTTTGCCTACAGAAAAAGCCAAAGAGATCCAGAAGTGCTAAGAAGCCTGTTCCTAGATCTAGTACCAATGCATTGAGCCTAATATCTTCCTGCCAAAGCTCATCACCAGGTGAGAGGAAATTTATTACTCTTAATATTAACGGTTATTTGTGTAGAATGCAAATAGATACTGCATCTGATGTCACTATCCTCTCACGCAAAAATTGGACCAAATTGGGCAGCCCAAGCCTGCAGCACACAACACAAAAGCCTCGTACAGCATGTGGTAATTATCTTCGTCTGTTAGGACAATTGGAATGTAAAGTTGCTTTCCGAGATTCGTCGTTTACTGGGGTATGCTATATAACGCCAGCTGATCTGAATTTACTTGGTTTAGATTGGTTCGACCAGCTAAAATTGGCTGATGTCCCGCTAAATACCATATGCAACCTGGTATCACAACGACATGACCCAGAAGCGTATACGAAGAAGCTGATGACAGAGTTTTCAACCGTTTTTGAACCTGGATTAGGTCGGTGCACTGCTATGAAAGCAACACTTCGGTTGAAACATGGGGCTAAGCCTGCTTTTCGTCCAAAGAGACCTGTACCGTATGCTACATTAGCAACAGTAGATGAAGAGCTGGATCGCCTTCAACGACAAGGAGTTATTACTCCCGTTTCTTACTCCAGTTGGGCAGCACCTATAGTCGTTATCAAGAAGGCCAACGGCACGATACGTATATGTGCTGACTTCGCTACAGGTCTCAACACAGCTCTACAACAGCAACATTATCCTCTGCCAGTCCCAGCAGATCTGTTCACTATGCTGAATGGGGGAAAGTTCTTCGCAAAGCTTGACCTAGCTGATGCTTATTTGCAAGTGAAAGTCGATGAAGCATCTAAAGAGCTGCTTACTATCAACACTCATTGTGGTTTGTTCCAGTATAACCGTCTACCTTTTGGAGTTA